GAGCATTTACTACACCGCAGTTAAACCAGGAATGGGGTGATCCGGATGGGGAAAACATTTTTGAAAATATATTAGTGTGTTGAAGCCAACTTGAATGTGTGTATGGTGTGCGATGACATTCTGGGATATAAAAGAGTACTGGGAAAAAGCTAGGTTTTCTTGAGTGTTTATAGTTTTATTGAACTTAGGAAACTTTCCAAGAGAAGGGGCACAAACTTTAGGGGTTCTGGTCTCTTTCTATCGACCTGCTGGGTGAAGATCACCGACAGGTAGAAACCCTTGAAAAGTGTCCTTAGGAAATATGTTTAAGAAAGGGTCACCTGATTCACCTTGAAACGTGTTTGCTGTTCAAATGTTTTTTCCTTTTGCTTCAGAGGCTAATAAAGCTTAAAGCTGTTTTTTTGGCATGGGGGTAAGCTGTTCTTGGGCTACTGGATATGGAGGAGGTGAAGTTTGTTTGCTGAAGTTTGTTCTCTGCAAAGTTTTTTAGAATCAGGATATCTGGAAGGATTTTCTCCAACCCCACCCTCCAAAAGCAGGTGAACTTTGAGAGAGGTTGCTTCACTTGAAAAGGCTAGACACAAAAGCTTCATTGTGTTGTTAAGCTGATAACCCATTTATTGTATCTGGTAGGATGAAACGGCAGCCTTTCAAATTGTATGCATATATGTACAGTATGTATCATTTTCACTAATAAAAACAAAAAAAGAGGAGATCTTGTAGATGGAGGAAATCTTTGTCTCCTGTAAACAAAAATAGCTTGTAACAGGTTTGACATGTTTAATACATTACATTAGTCTGAACCTCTTGATACCTACAACATTTCCCAGTGTGGTGTAATAGATAGAATAATGCACTAGAATTCAAGAGGCCTGGGTTCAGTATCCCGCTCAGCCACGGAAACTCACTGGGGGTGTGGAACCAGTAGAACCACTCCTTAAATGTCTCACTTGCCTTGATGGCATATAACAAGCAGCAGTCCAACATTATGTAAATTGGTGGACGTTTCCGTCTGTGGCCAAGTTTCCGAGATTTGTTATGTAGGAGTGATGCCTCTGGGCTTGCTCCTGTGTGCCAGGAGTGCGGATGTGTGTCATGTAACATTCCACTTGTTGAACAACAACTCCCATCAATCTGGATCAATGCTTGTGCCTCTGTTAAGGACTGATGACAGAGGTGGCCTGTCAGACAATTCCTGTTCTGTCCTGAGTGGCAGAAGACCTCTGAAGTAGTGAGGAGTTATAGAAGCATCCTGGAGGTCTCCAATTAATTAAATAACAATGAAATAATGAAACTGCCCCGCCCTACCTGAAGTAGTTCTTTAAACCTTCAGGTTGCAGCACAAAGTTGTTTGAGCAGATTCTATTGTGGGATGTGTTTACAGTTTTGTGTGGGTAAGATTAGTTTTTCATTGAATTAGATCTATGTAACAAAGGTTGACCAAACCCTCCCCCCCCAAATACTCTTTGTGTTGGTTTTCTGCATGTAACTGTTACATAGATGTCCTTAATGATTTGAAAATCTGTACATGGGAGTATGAGTCATGCCCCAAATGACCTTCTGTATAAGGGGAGGAGAACTGTGCTGTAGCATAAATTGCTCTTCTCTTTTTTCAAGGTACACTAGCTCTGGGGTTAAAGTGAATGCACTCCAGAGTGATGATCTTTGCCTGTAATGCTTCCTCACTCCAAGGTGTGAAAGGGAAAACCCAGACCTTTCTGTGAAGGTTCAGCTTCCTTTGACAAATGCAGCACATTAGCTCTCTAGACTGTGTGCTAAATGTGTATTTGAACTGACCTGTGCAAGGTGAATGCAGCTTCGTTTCCTTTGGTTAAGTAGGCAGGTGGATCTGGACCTGTGGTTGAACTGTACTCTGTTGTGGGTCTGTTGTTTCTATGACTGTATGCAGGCTGTAGAACAAATCACAGCGACAACCTCTTTCCAAATATCACTTTGTGTGGGAATGTCACTGATAAGATCTGCACAATTTAAGTCTGAATGCCGTTGTCTTACATATTGCTTCCTCTTTTATAAGTGGCTACTAACATTCTTGAAGCTGTGATGTGATTTTTGAATATGATTGGTCAGGAGAGTGTGTGCTGTTGCATTTTCTGTAGGACTAGGGCATCCTGGTGATCATGAAGCTCTAGGCAATCTTTGTCCTCCCCAACAACATTTGTCCTCAACAACCATGTGAGGTAGGTCAGGATGAGGTCTCTCCAACCTAGCATTTCTTCCTAACCTGCCATCCAGTTGTTGTCAGGATGAATGTTTGGGGTTCAAACAGAAAGAGCTATGCACTACGTATTAAACGTCTTGGGTGGAATGTCTGTTACAGGGAGTAAATAGCGAGCCTATTTCTACAGGTATGATCCTACAACTAATAGTCACTTTGCAAGATTGCTGCTAGTCATTTTTTCTAGTTAAGCTGTGTCTTGCATTTGCAGCATCCCCCCCCAGCTGTCTGGTTGCTCTTGCATTGGTTGCATTATGAATCTGTGCAGTTTTTATGTAGTGCATAAAATCCTTTGTACCTTAAAGGACTTACTAGCGGGTGTGAGTGGGAGGGTACAGAAGGAAAGGAAATTGTTTTGCAAATGTAAATGTGTCACCTGAATTGAATGTGTCAAATTAGTATATGGGGTGGGGGGGAGGCAGAAGCAGTCTCTATACTTCGGCTTAGCTGCAAAATCTTCAGCAAGAATTTAGGTAGTGGTAGGGATGACTAGAAAGGAGGAGGTTCCTGCATTTCTGAGTAGCAATACAAAAATGTGGACCTGTGTAGTTGGACTTGCTAAAATCTTCTAACATGAGCATGGAAGCTTTAGAAATCCTGTTCTCAATTCCACTGCTACCCTATATAATTTTTCTTAAAATATTTGCTTCCCAAGATATTGAGTGCGCATAGTGATAATTGTGTGCCATCAAGTTGATTCAGACTAATGGCCCAGAGTTTTCGAGGTAGTGGATATTTGGAAGTGATTTACTTCTTCTGGGGGCTCCATGGGGCTTATCCATGGCTACATAGGCTGGCTGCTTTCCCAAGAAACACAAAAAGGAATCAAAGTTCCAGCCTCTGGGAATTTGATACCTAAACCACTGATGTTATCCAGTCAACTACTGAGTGCACATAGCACTTATTTTTTACTCGATACTTGATCTTCTAGGAAGAAACTGCAAAAACTTGTCTGCATTTCAATAGCTCTAAGCATCGTTTTAGAAATATGACTAGTGATAGTATGATTGACTTAAAAAAGATTGGTAAGCAGTTGGAGGCACCTTAGAACTAACATAATATGGGTTTAAATGTGTGCACAGGTCTTAAATGATCAACACGTGATCCACTTCAAATCAACACATCTCTTTTAATTTGTGAGAATGTTTAAATGGCCTTCCAGAATGTAATGGGATGGAGAAGCGGGTGAGCTGCAAGATAGATTCCATATGTTATCTTAGTAGTACTGTTGCTAAGAGGAAACAATGAGGCAAACGTACAGGATGAAAAATGATTGTAAGAAATACTGTATAACATTTTAGGTTGTAATCATATGCACATTTTTAGCTGAAAGTTAAACATAGCCGGAATTACTTCAGAGTAAATGCATGCCTATGATTGTACTGTGCCGTTTTATTTTAAAGATTACAAATATTAATTATTTGTGCTGTATTGCAGTTGTCTGTAGGTCAGTACCCTTTGAAGAATGAGGTACAAGTTAAAAGTGTGTGTGTGTTTGTGTGTGTGCACAAACACACACACACACACACACACTTTTAACTTGTACCTCATTCTTCAAGGGGTACTGACCTACAGGCTATATATGTAGCCATATACATATACACACACACATTACTGAAATCTTATTTAAATCAGCCAACTATACAGGTTGTCAAGATGCTACATATGTAGCCATATACATACACACACACACACACGCATTACTGAGATCTTATTATTCAAATCAGCCAACTATACAGGTTGTCAAGATGATAACTGTTTGGAGTCCTCGGTTTTGTTCTGGAACCTTTGTCCTGCTTTAATGCATAGAGTGAACTCTTTGACTTCTAGATATGTGTGTTTATGTATGCTTGACATAACCTGAGGACTGGCACAACAGTTGTAGTAATGTTTATAGGAAGAAAATGTTCAACAGAGCTAAATAATCCACAGTGATGTCTCTGGACAAGCAACCAATATAATGCATACCATGTGTTATATTTTAGACTGGCAAATGTGTTAGATATCTCCAAGCTTCTGCCCATGAGTGCCACCCTCTCACCCAGAGTGAATAAAAATCAATTATTTAAAACAAATAATTTGATTTAAATTATTTGATTTCAGTCAAATCCATCTTGCTCTTGCCCAGTGCATTCTCTCTCCTTTCCTGCCACACAAATTATTTCTTTCTCATTTATCTCTCCTGGTACCCATTCAGCTTGTAGCAAGACTAGAAACCCACAAGTCCTAACCAAACCCCATGATCTCTCTCTTCTTCCCCTGCCGCACTGTTACTTTTCATGCTGGCCTTTTGTCTCCCACCTACATCCCGGTACTTAGCCCAGGATTTGTGGGAGAAATGTAATTTCTTTGGTCTACAACTTCCAAAGTCCACCAGCTACCATGGCCACTCAAGATATCACCTATCTGCTTCTGCGAGTTACAAATTCAGTAATACCTGTTTAAATCTTTGTGCTTCTAATTCGTACTGTTTTGGACTTCTTTCAAAGTACGTGGACTACAGCTCCCAAACTTCTCAAAGGTAGATTCTTTAGACTACATCTCACAGAATTCTTCCAGCCAGCATGGCCAGATAATACCTCTTTAGTATCTGTGCA